ATAAGAAGAGACACTTCCGCAACTGGGAGGCACGTTATGGTGCTCTAACATTGGCTTTTTATGTGTTTCAAGATCCCGCTTTCATGAAGAAAGCTTCAACTGGGTCAGACAATAACATGGATAGAACGGGAAATCAACCTATCCTCCGCTTGCTTCTCGCTTCCGGAAGCTAAGCGCAACAAGCTCTATGAGCTTATGTCTGACTGCCTTCGACACCGCGAGGTCTTCCGCAAGCAACTTGACAAGCTTCTTGGCCTGTTGCAATGGATTCTTCACGGCATGCCCACTTTGAGGCCCTGTCTTTCGTCTCTATAAGATGGTTTACACAGTAAAAGCAACCAATGTGGTGTGGGCGGCTGTTTTCCTAGCGGACGGATTCTCACTGATTTTGATGTGCGGCAATTTGCAGCTTTGGGTATCCTGGCTTTTGTATGTGGAGTGCGCTGGCATCATGCTGGGTTGCAGCCATGTCGCTGGCGAGAAGAACGACGATGCAAACGGAGCGACCGTTTCTTCTGCGATGCAGAGGTAACTCCAAACTGTAGGGGCTGGACCCTAGATCTTCAACGAAGGGGAGCTTAAGTGAGACTTTAAAAGAGAGCTTGAGAGATGCTTCAAGGGGAGGCTTAAGGGCCTTAAGGGGATCTTAAGAAGGGAAGCGAAGGGGAGGGGAGACGAAGGGTCGAAAGGCTTGAAGGGGGTGAAGGGTGGGACTTCAAGAGGCTTGAAGGGGGAGACTTGAAGGGTGTGATAACAGGCGGCTTACCCTTGTGCTCTATCTGCACTCAGCAGTCGCACTCCATGACTTTTCCTGCTATCAGCATCTGCGTAGCTTCATCTACTCAAGGGGCCCCTGATGAGCCAGCATGTAACAGCACGTTTCTATGCACAGCAACGAAGAGCAAACGACACTGACTTTCACAGCTCCCCGAACTTCGTTCGTTGCTGTCAGCGTCTGTTGTAGCCACGGTGCTCACGCTCAAGCTTCTTCTCTTCCATAGCCTGGGCCTCGTCGACGATCTGGTACTCTCCACTGTCCAACAAGTCGTACAGAGCGTTCATGTTAGCTCCTTTCTTAGTCAAGCCGTCCACCACCATGCGGGGGTGAGGTACCCATCGAACTTCACTGTTGATGGCACTCATGCTCTGTCTGATGACCTGAATTTCCAGACCAGTCCTCTTGTCTGCTGATGGGCCAGCAGTCTCCTTGGAGAGGTGATCATAAAGTGCTTTAGCATCCACAATGCACAGGCTTCCTTTGAGCTCCTCGCTGGAGTCTTCTGGGGCCATAGTGATAACCCTGTTCCCTTGAAGCCGTTGCTCCCATTCGGACAACTTAAAGTTGACGTCCATGAGCTCGTTGTAGAGTGATGCCACCCAGCACAGTTCACCCAGTCCTTTGCTCAAGCTCTGAGTTTCCGCTGCCAAAGTGGAATTGACAACCTTTTGGATACGTCCACTCCTCCAGGAAATCAATGAACATGGAACTCGGTAACCATCCTTGAGGCTGTCGTCAAAGGCCAAGATGGCATAGGCGCCCTGGCTATGTCCCGCGTAGGCGTTGGCGAAGCTCGCATCTGAAACAACTCCCCATGAGAGTTTCTCCGGCGAAATCCCGCGGATCCGGATTTTCAGCTCGGGACGTTCTTTCAACATAGACACAGCTCGATTCACGTCGATCACGTCTTGCACCGTAGGCTTTGGAAAAGTACTGGCTCCCAGGGATGCGGCGGCTGCAGCATCTGGTCTTCCTTCCTTTGCTAGCCAGTTCAGCGCACCAACCACCGCTCTCATCTGGTTCACTTCGCTGTCATTCGCGAGCATTTTGGCATTGGCTTTCCTGCCCTTGCTGAGCTGCACCGGACTCAGTCTTTCCTCAACGAATTTGAACATGTCGATTTCAAACTCGTAGTTTGGGAGCTGGTGGATTCTACGACCGTTAAATCCCACTCCTTCTGGACACTTCATCACATCCTCATATTTCCCAAACTGGAACTTCTCCTGGAGCTGCTTCATACGGCCTTGATGCACCGCATTCCCAAAGGTGAACAAATCGTCCACTTCCACTGCAATCGCACCGTCGAGGATCTCCTGCGTCTGCAAATAGTAGACGGTAGGATCTAGAAGAGATTCACGGTAGCCCAAAGCTAAAATCGCTTCACGCAGCGTCTTGCGCCAGTGTTGAGGAGAGTCCCCTAGTCCGTAGACTCCGGCAATGATTTCAACCAATTGTTCTTCATGAAGTCCATCAATGCCGCTCTTAGGAAGGGAAGCGTACAACCTGCCTTGTCGACGTAGTAAGGGCATGCTCTGGCAGAAGGCATTCTTCAAGTCTCCAACCGCTGCGGGGTATTTCATAGACGATGCTATTTGAAGCAGCACTCCAAACGACGTGGTGTTGAGAGTGGGGGCATGTCGATCTAGCTCCAGAAGATCTGGATCTTTGTCTCCCCTCAAGCACCATCTGCTCTTCCGGGTTGGAGGTTTGCCCGGTTGCTCTGCAGGTTTCCACCGTCGAACCATCCTGCTCGGAATGATTCTGTGACGCTCCTCACTATTGCGAATCCTTCTTGACTCTTCTAGATTCTAGACTCAACACTTTGATTGCGCCCGTGCTCTCGACTTTGTCCCATTCGCCCTTGTCCGACTTCCTCCATTCCGGCCACTCATCCGGTTTGATCTCGTGCTCGTACACCTCGCCTTGTCCTCTAGCCTTCCCAACCATGAAGTTTTCGAGGTCAACTTCCTTGTTGGAGAACACTGTGAAGCCCGTCCATGGCTTGCTTGTGGCCGTCTTGTTTTTCCTCTGCTTGAACCAGAAGTCCTTGCTCTTGTCGATAGTCCCGTCCTCCATAACCATAAAGGTTTGTCGAACCTTGAGCCTTCTGGGCATCAGTGTTCCTTTGATCTTGGAGGGGTTGCAGAGGTGATCCCGAGGAAGTCGATGTCGACGAACCACCAAATTGGGGTTGATGAACTCCCATTCATCCTGTTCCCGTCTCCACTTTCCTTCTTCAAAACAGTACCATTCATGAACTCCCTTTTCCTGGGTCACAGCGAGGTGGGGCTCGTTGTGAGGTCGATGTGCAGAAAGTCGCCGAACTGCTTCATAAGAAGGAGAACCCGGAAAGTTTCCATCCAGCATCTCATTGCGCAGCACTGTCCTTGTAGTTTCCGGAGTCAACCTGGGTGTGGGTAAAGGCTCTGGCTCAGACTCGGTTCGCTGCCTTTCGGTCTCTTGCTGTGGTCCTGAAAGATCTTCATTCTGTGGTTGTGGTACATCAAGTTGAGGAGCTTGTTGTACATCAGGTTCTGATGGAGCATACTCCAGCTCCTCTGGATCATCCGGTACAGGTACTTCAGAGGCTTGCCGAAGCCGTGGTCGTTGAGCTGGGGGTTCGAGGCCTTCTGGTTCTCCAACTTGATCATCTTCATCTCCTGGAACGCCCTCGCCCGTCATATCTCTGAAAGTTCTCTTCGTAGCCGAGCGACCTAGTTCTTCACGTAGAGCTTCCAGTTCGCCAGCTACTAGTTCTTTTGCGATTTGCTCTTCGCTTGTGGCATGACGGCACTGCTCAAAGCTGACTTTCCAAAGTTCGCCTTTCATCGAAACCCACAAGCTTGGTTTTTCCACTGCTAGCACCAAACCTGGTCCTACCCAAGTAGGTTTCCTTGATTTGTGGGCCTCCGGCGTCATCATATGTCGTCGCTTCCTTTCTCGAGGTTGACGAAAGACATACACCGTCTCGCCTGCATTGAAGTCCACCGGAATTCTGCTTCTTGCATTCTTCGCCTTTGACAGGGCCACCTCGGTCTGAGACTTGATGTAGGCCTCTTGAGCACATTTGCGAATCTCCAACATCTTTCTCATCTCATCTCCTGCTCCTTGGACAACCAGCTGAGGATCCAAATGATCGTCTGAAAGTAGAGACCCTGGCAGTCGAAGATTGTGTCCAATCTGCCTTTGCATAGGAGAAAAACCACTCCGGTTTCCATATCTATTCTTTGCGCTCTCAACTTCATAAAGAAGCGTCTTGACTTCTTCCCAAGAGCTGATGTGGGTGGATTCTCTGGCACGCTCATAGATGTGTTTGAAATGGGCTCCGGCTCTCTCAGTCTTTCCAGCTTGCCATGGTGACCTGGCTGCCGTATGACGAATCAAGGCACCTGCCTGTCCAGCAAGTTCTGAGAACTGTCCTCTGAACTCGGAACCCAAGTCTGCAACAATGATGTCAGGAACACCGAACACCCTGGCCCACGTCCTCATAAAGGTCCTCCAGGTGTGGTCCGACTCCGTGCTCCGAAGTCGCTCCACCATTTGGTAACCGGTACCCCAATCCACCATTGAAAGAGCCGGAAAGCTCTGTCTGGGGTCCAGTCCTTGAAGAAAGACCACATCCACTCCCACAACCTTGCCCGGCTCGTAGGATTTGGGAAGAATTGCCGGTCTAGCCGGTTTTGGTCGTGGCTTTGCCTCGCATGTAGCGCAACTGAACCGTTTTGCCACATACCTCACAAGATGGGGCTTTGCATGTGCCAATCGCAACGATCTGGCCATGTCCAAGGGCCTGGGATGGCCAAGGTTCTCATGAAGCTTCTTGATCAGCCTCTCCTCTTCGGCCGTTGGGTCCAAATCATCATCCACATGTGCATCTCGAGAGTCCTCGACGTCCTGCTGGTCTTCCGTCACCGGCTCGAACCGCTGCTCATCCTCCTCCACATACACCTGGGAGAACTGTCCGATTCCAAACTGCACTGTACCATCAAACATGTAGACGAAGGCATCCTGGGGCAGCATGAAGCCCATCTTCCTGAGGAGCTTCGAGTCCCTGGTATCAACCATGTCGACTGCTCGGGAAGTGAAGGCACTGATCACAAACCGGGTGCCTGTCCAGGGCATTGAAGCATGCCACGCCCGAGGATCAAACTCGGCAGCCTTGTAGTGAATGTCATGCACCTCACCAGCCACTGTAGATCCATTTGGCATAGTTCTCCACGTCGACTTGTTGGTAGTAGAGGATGTCTGCGTCCACAATCCTCCGCCTTGGTGTCTTCCAACGGAGAAGATATAGTTCTTTGTAAGACGCTTGTTGTGGTTGTCTTTGTGTGGAAGACTGCCTGCATTCAACCCAATTGCGACCGACGTCCAGGTAGGCCTTGAGATCCCAGCACACTTGCATTGGTACTTCAACACCCGATTGACGTACTCAGTAAATTTGGGAAGCTTCTTGGCCAAATTCGTGACTCCATTGCTTTTGCCGTGGGCATAGAGGCCAAGAGAGAGGTACAACCCATTCTCCACACTCTGCCTGGACGATGCCTGTCTGAACTGAAGGGTCTCGCACAGCTTCTCCATGGACATGAAAGAGAAGTCTCGCTCCCGTAAAAGACGTTCTGCTCTGAACTCCAAGACATTGACTTGACCAAGCGTGAGAAAGGACTTGCTTCCTGAACAATGTCCTTGGGACCAGTCGTGCTCCTGACACACATCTGTTTTAAGGGACCAGTCGTGCTCCTGACACACATCAAAAATAAACGACCGGTGCGCCTCTGGATTCTGTCGAAGATCGTCGGTGTCCTCAGGGATATTCTCATAATCGTCAAACATGAAGCTCTCGTTGTGAGAGTGCGCCTCTGGATTCTGTTGAAGATCGTTGGTGTCCTCAAGGTGCGCCTCTGGCTTCTGTGGAAGATCGTTGGTGTCCTCAAGGCGAAACTTCAAACCGTTCTCAGCCATATCTTTCAATCGACCTGGAAGACTTGCATGGTTGCTGAGAATCACATAGCGACCATTCATTTTCACTGCGAATACTTCACCTTGATCACTCAGTCCTTGCCGACAGTAACTCTCATCATCTTCATCGCACAGAACCACAAAGACACCTCCTTGCGCATTCTGCCACTCCGCTGCATCGATTGACAACTGCAAACTGGTTTCATCACGATCCGGCTGTAGTATCAAGCAACGGGGGCCTTTGTCTCTCAGCTGTACCCAAAACTGCTGCTTTCCAGGCGGCTCCAAAATGGCCATCGCCTGATCACACTCGACAAACTTGTGAATTCCATAGGGTGATACTGCCTCGACAACCGGGCTGTGTTGCTGTGTGGACATGCCCTTCATGAGGAGATTGATGTTCTGAGAGGTTCGCTTGCGCTCTCCTGCCGAGAGGGCCTTGATCTTACCCGACTCCTCACTCCACACATTCATGCTCTCGTCATCGACAAACACAGCCAACATGAACCTGCCATATGCTCTCTTGGGAAGCCAGCCTTCACACTCCAGCCAGCTATTAGCCGTAGTATCATACATGTAGTAGACGCGGTTCAGTGGCATAGTCCATGGGGTCGAGGAATGCAAGCAAAGTGCCCGCATTTGCAACTTTCTTGCATGCACCAACTGCTCATCGCTCCATAGAAAGCAGCTGTTGTCCGGACGCACATACTCCGGAAGTCCACTGACACTCAAAGCTCGTTGACCATCTGAAAGCCATCCATGTGTGCGGCTGGAGCCTGACCCTGAAACTGACTCAGGTAGCTCTGCATCCACGCTAGTTGCACCTTGAGTTCGTTCACTTCCTCGTGGTGCACGCGGGCCTGGCTCGCAAGTTGGGCCTGAGTCTTGGCCTGTAGCTCCTCCAGGGGGTTCGGGATCGCACCATCCGGCTCCTCGATCTCCATCATCTCGTCCATGGTGCTCGCCAGCCTGGACTTCAGGATCTTCTGCTCGCTTTGGTCCCACTGAAAGAACTCGCACACTCGGTCCCGGCATCGGTGAAAGTGGCGTCCCTGCGTTGGCCCGGCTTTCTTCACTTCCCAGCGTGTTGTCACATTTCCGCACTGACATAGCACCTGCGGGGTCCTTGAGGCCTGACCCTGATCCATTGATCCTGCCGTCATTCTCGGAGTGCTGGGCTTGCTCTTGAACTTCTCGAGCTCCTTGATCTTCTCGTTGAGCTTGTCCGGGCTGAGGTACTGCCAGCGGCTCTTGCACACATTGCACCACACTTCCCTCGCATACTGGTTTCCACCACCCTTCAGCTCGATAGTAGGATGTTCGCACATCTCTCGGCTCCTGAGGGGAGGGTCCTTGGTCTTGCGAATCCCAAGGAACGTGGAGACCTTGATAATCTTCGCGTACTCCAGCTGCTTGTCTGAGGCCCTTGTCGTAGAAGGAGACGGGGCCGAAGTCGAGGGGGTGTCCTGTGAGGGCACTAACCCCAACAGCCGCTGCGAGCCATCTGGTAGCCAAGCGAACACTCCTTCCCGCATGCTTACCAGACCCATGAGGTCGATCATCTTGTCGCCGAGTATCCTCCAACGTGCTATGGCACGACGACTCCTGAGGACTCCTGCTGGCATCCCTCCGGGACGAGTCGGTCCGTCCCGGCTTCGTTGATCCATCATCCGATGCAACAGCAGCTGAGCCATCTTTCTCACCGACTTCGAATTGCACTCGGCGCTCGGGGCTCTTCTCGAGAGGATACATGCTCTGAAGAAAACCACTGCTTGCAAGGACGAACTGCTCATGTTTCATGCGCTCACTCTCAGCAGCTTTCGGCAAAGACCAACCCTCTGGCGCAAACTCTGTCACAGAAACCGCCATGTGTCCAGAAGGTACGGCATGCATTCCTGTTTCAACCCCATAGGCCTTGAGGCAAAGGCGATCGGTGTCGAGGTCCACCACCGCCCTGAGCTGCTTGAGCATTCGTATCGGTAGAAGTAGAGGTATGTTCTCTTGCACCACGGTAGCTTCTAACAGCCCATTTACCCCAGCAAGACTCAGCAAGACCCACAGGAATCTCTGCAACGCCGATGACCTTTGCCTTTCCTCCCACACCGCTGGCTTGGGCTTGCTTCTTCGTGTTCCACTTGATCTGCAATCCGTATCCACGCAACACACTTGCAAGCTCCAACAATGCAGCCTTGCCGATGAGCCCGTCCTGGGCTGCCGTGTCGACGATACCTTCGCCGGCTCGGGTGCAAACGCCAACAAAGCTTGGAGGGGGATCTTCACTTTGAGGTTCCAGCAGTTGCGGTTGCACGAGCGTCTCTTTGTTGAGGACCGAAGAAAGTATCTTACCGAAGGTAGGCAAGTACGACATAAAGCTCACGGACTCGTTTTCGGTGAACAGCGCGTCGGTCCGTGCATGTCCACTCGACTCCACGAAGAAGCCTGACCTAGTCGAGGGGGACGATGTCGAAGCCGAGGGAGACTTGGGAAACGACGCGCGGCCTCTCTCGTCTGGAGCGTTCGTGCACTCCCGAGCCCAATGGCCAACTGCGCCGCACCTTGCACACTTTGTTCTCAGCTTGAGTAGGTCGATGTGCACCTTGGTTCCATGTTTCCCAAACTTCATCTGTCCCTTGCCCTTGCCACGGAAGTCCAGCATCGGACGGTTCTTGCCGTAGCCCTTGTCGTAGCCCTTGTCGGAGCCCTTGCCAGAGCCCTTTCCAGAGCCCTTGCCATAGCCCTTTGGGGACGAAGATCCCTTTCCGGAGGGATAGTAGCCTCGGCTGTTCTTCTGTTCACGAAGCGAACGCCTGACGTCCTGGTATGTAGCTGATGTGCTCCTCCTCGTACACATCCTTCAAGTCCTCCTCGCCGATGTACACGTAGTCCTCGTCGCCGTCCGACTCCGCCTCATCTTCACCCTGTTGGAGGAAGGCTTCAGGGCCTTCCATTTCTTCTTCGCCAAGATCGTCATCTCCATCCAGCAGGTACGCGTGGTTTCTCCGCTTGACGTCGAAGATGCCCTTGTCTAGCTTGCGTAAGTTCTCGATCACAGTTTTCCGATCGTACTTCCCTGAGCCCCAGGTCAACATCTGAGCTTCCTGAACATCGGTAAGATTAGCATGCCTGAACATCACATAGCCAACCACTAGTTCATGAAGCTTGACTCCCTGCCTCTCCAGCTCCTTGAAGTTGCGCTCGAGTCTGATGACGTAATCGCTGAACGACTCCTTTGCCGAGCGAATGTCACCGTAGATCGCCTCTTCGAAGGCCTTTGGCAGGGAAACCTGCAGATGGGGATCATAGTGCTCTTTGAGAACCTTCATCAGGTTGTCCAGTCCCTTATCGCAAGCCAGCTCTTCAAACGTCATGCTATCTGCGACCGACTTAGCAGAGCCTTGGAGTTGTCTGAAGACCTTCACACCCCATTTCTCCCTGGGGATCTCCGTCTCGTACTTCCAAAACTCCAACTCTTTCAACCAACGCGGAAACTCCTTGTCGGGGCTCCGTCCATCAAAGGAAGGTGGGGGCTCTCTGTCCTTCCAGCGGCTGCTCTCGCCCTGGATCTGCTCGCTCGATGGTTGCGCACTCACCGGCATCTCTCAGCCACAGAAGTGGCTCCGCTACCACCTGTGATAACAGGCGGCTTACCCTTGTGCTCTATCTGCACTCAGCAGTCGCACTCCATGACTTTTCCTGCTATCAGCATCTGCGTAGCTTCATCTACGAATCTACTCAAGGGGCCCCTGATGAGCCAGCATGTAACAGCACGTTTCTATGCACAGCAACGAAGAGCAAACGACACTGACTTTCACAAAGAGAGGCTTGAAAGGGCTTAAAGGGAACTTCAAGGGGGCTTGAAGAGGGGCTGAAGGAAGATTGAGGGGAGAGCTTTGAAGGGCTTCAAAGGGGACTTAAGGGAGACTTGAAGGGGGGGACTTTGAAAAGAGAAGGCTTCAAGGAGGACTTGAAGAAGTGCTTAAAGGAGACGAAAGAAAATGAGAGCAACTCAAATGAAAAAGAACAAACTTAAATAAAACGCAAACACTTATCAAAAGAAGAAGAAACGACACGAAAGGAAGCCAAAAAAGAAAGAACCACAAGCTTAAGCAACCGGACCTTGTTTCGACGTTCATTTTGACAGATTTAACGGGCTCATGTTCAAGGTCGAAATCTTTGAAAACGTGTGCACTATAACGTTGCTGCCATTGCTTGCAATGAAGAAAGCTGGAAGTAAAAAGCCATTGCTTGGCTTGGTTCAATTCCACAGAGCAAGCGGCCAAGTTCTGAATAAAAGGTTCCAGCCAAACTTTTAAATGGCTGGCTGTTCTGGACACATGGAATACGACCAGCAGCGCACCATGAGGACGCCTGCAGGGAACTTAGCTATAGAGCTCACACAGATGCTTATTTCAATTTGGAGGCATTCGGCTTTGATGATGGAAGAAGAGCGCATTTTTCAGTGCACAGAACAATTCTTCGACATTCTGCACTTTCTGAACTTTCTTCATTCAAGATGCTGTTCTTCAATTTATGTTGAGCCACAACAACGTTTGCATACTTTTACAAACAGACGCAGGCACAGCAATTTTCCAATTTTATTGGGCAAGTTTTGTGGTGGGACCTTTTTACCAGTTCTTACCGCTGGTTGGCTTCTCTAGCTCCCGCTTATAGGCTCTTAACATCAAAAATTGATAGCTGACAAGAAATCAGGTGGCTACCCTGGAAATCAGTGCCGCACGGGACGATAGCTGATCCATTTGTCCAAAAGAGCTCCTCCGCTTGACCGAGCTAAGTGACCTGCTCTTTGGATGAAGCTCCGTCGAGGGGGGGCTGGGCCCCAGACCTTCGGGCGAAGGGGGGCTTAAGGG